TGTTTGTACAGGAATCTCAGAAAAACAGAGAGCAGGAAGAATAAATTAGAAGAGCAGCTCAACAGTGTTGGTGCCAAAGTCAACAAGCTGAAAGAGAAGTATACCACTTCATATCTTCCTGTCTGTTCTCTTACCCTTAATCAATATTTGGCTTGGAGTGTTTTGCCATGAAAATACATTTTTGCTATTACATTATTCTACATCATTGTGACCTTCTGGCCACAACAGTGGCCTAAAGTTTATCAAATAGAAGTAAAATAAGTAAGTTTTAGTTTATGTTAGATTTGCTTTTCCCTAGTTTGCCATTTTACTTTGTCAACGTAAGTTCTGCATGTCTATGTGATCAACAGACCCTGGCTTTTAATAAAATAACATAATTTATGAAAGAAAATAGCTGGTTGCAGTTTGGCTCGGGAAATTTGCTGAATACAGTATTTTCTACTGCTTAACAGTTGCTTTAAGGATGTTTTTAGCTCTATTTTAGCAAGGGTGATGCCTTCCCAAATTGTATTTTCCTTCAGCCTAGAGTAAGCTCCCACATCATTTAAACCTAGTGATGTCCCTGCCATGGTATCTTCTTCTTTGATTCGTTTTTGTTGTCGCACATTTTCAGTCAGAAACAAATTTGAACTGTGCTGCATATGAAACTGTGATGTTAAATCTTTGAGAATAAAGTCTTACAACATCTCTGATGTAAAAGCAAATCTTACGTGGAAAAATGTCACCTCGGTGCTAACATACGTATTACAAAATATATATTTGCATCAATGGTACTTTATATAAAAGTGCATGTCTCTCTTTGGGAATCAAAGATGTCTGCTTTTGACAACGGCTTGAAATTATTATAATTTTTTTCCTCATTTTTGGCACCTAAAACTTGATGTCTGTTTTTCCCCAAGGAAAACAGAAACAATGGCTTTCCAGCTACAGAGCACAGTATGCTCACTGTGTTTCTGTTTGAGATGTTTGTGAGAACTCAGTGGTGTTTGTGTGCAGAGATACAGTCACTGACTGTGTTGAGTGACAGTAGCACACCCGAGCCTTTGGGACTATACTGTGGCACTGCTGTTTATTTTTTATATAGAGTAAAACCAGACAGCTCAACAATTACATGCATTCAAAATCATTTTTGGCTTTAGCTCAGTGGTGTAGTCTATGCGGTACATGGTGTATGGAGTATATC